CTTCCCCAGCTCAACAAAGCATAATACAATCTCCACAGTTTCCCAAGCTGCCTTCAAAATATGCCTTGAATCAATGTATCCTCTATCTCTTCTGCATCATGGCTACCTAGGACATTTATTTATGGTCTGCATGAGGACAGTACTTGTTGAGTGCCTTCTTACATTATTGAATCTCTCAATATTTATCCTGACTTTGCCTTTATGCTAACTTTTCCCTGTCTGTCCCTTTTTCTGTTCAGCTCTTGGCAGAACCTGTCATGACCTTCAAGTCTCCATCTCCTCTAATAGTTCTCCCAAACTTCTGTCTTTATCTACTTTGTTTACTTCTTAGTATTATGTGTTTCAAATTATGTTTCTTAACTGATTTTTTTGTCTATACAACTTTCAAAGAAAAACTGCACCAGGAATATCAAAAAGTCAAGAAAGACTTGTTTCAAGAACATTGAGATTGGGGGCAGAGTTGAACCAACTCTACTGAAATAAAAGGAGTGAGCTTTTAAAAGCAGTGGAAATAGGAGAAGTAGGTCAGTGATATGTGAATGAGAATGATACATGGTGGTAGTTACCTATGTTGTGTTAGGCATTTAGCACCTCTAGGACACAATGTCTTATAAAATTGAAAGAACACGATGTATCTTATAGGTGATTGTTAAGATTAAATAAGGTTATGTTTATGAACGCAATAAGAATAGTTCAAAATAGACTATTTTATTTCCCTCTTCAGATATCACAGTTTATCTTAAAAACTATTCAATGTTCCTAAAATGATATACCATTTTTGATTATTTTTCCTTTGTTTTGATTGTTGGAAACCTCATTTGAGTTAGGCAAACATGAATGCTATTATATATATACATTTGTCTTCTACAACATATTCTTAAAAATAATTAAAATAAGAAACAGTGATGATTACCCATAACAACTGTGAGTTAGAATGACTTAATTTTTTTTTTTTGCTTAAATTCTTTTATTGGTACATTTTTAGGTATACAATACATTTACACTTACCATTGGGTGCTTGTACCTGTACATGATGTATCTTGGTTCTTATTTTTTCCCCATTCCCTGTGCTTCCTTCCCCCGCTCTGCCCTTCCCTATTTACAAACACTTTGTTTTCTGGAAAACAAACAAGCTGTTTTTCCTTTTCTCATAATTTTTCCTTTTCCTTCTTTCCTTTCTCCTTCCCCTCCCATTTCCCCTACCCCTTTGGACCTTTCGTTTCCTATTTCAAATTATCAATTATTCGTTTTAATCATTTTAACCCTTATTTATACTTTCAGTTTCTCACACTAGAGAAACTATTCTATATTTTAACATGTGTGTCCTATTTATTTCACTTAAGAGTATGGCCTCAATATGCATCCATTTAGTTATAAATGTCTCTAGTTTCTTTTTCTTTATGGCTGAGTAGTACTCCATTTTATAAAAAAACCACATTTTCTTTATCCAGTCTCCAGTTGATGGGCATTTGGGCTGTTTCCAAGTTTTTGCTATTACAAACTGCACTGCTATAAACATGGGTGCACATATATCATTGTGGTATGATTCTTTTAATTCTTTTGGGAAGATACCCAGCAGGGGAATAGCTGGGTCAAATGGGACCTCTAGTCCTAGTTCTTTGAGATATCTCCATACTGATTTCCACAGTGGTTGCACCAGTCTGCACTCCCACCATCGATGGAGAAGGATTCCTTTCTCTCCACATCCCCACCAGCGTTTGTTATTGGTTGACATCTTGATAGCAGCCATTCTTTCTGGGGTGAGGTAGAATCTCAGTGTTGTTTTCATCTGCATCTCTCGAATGACCAGTGATGTTGAACATTTTTTCATATATTTATTTGCTGCTTTTACTTCTTTGTCTGAGAAATGTCTGTTCACTTCAGATGCCTATTTTTGAACTGGGTCCTTGAATTTGGGGAGTCTGATTTTTTTCAGTTCTTTATAGATAGAATGACTTAACTTTAAACTGAAGCCTTCCCAGCAAAAATGTTTGGCAAGTATTACTATATGGGATGTGATCAAAAAATACAGGGTAGTGTGTGTTTAAATTTTTTTAAAAGTTTATCATAGCAAAAGACATATTGCCATTAATTCCCTCCAAAATATCTTTTCTGGTTTCAAACATACTTATTACATTGTTCTTGCCTCTTTCTGAAGCAGTTCTGGAAATTCTTCCCATGTGGATATCTTTAGTTTCTCTGTGTTGCCTTCTTTGATGTCCTGAATTGATTCAAAAAGTTTACCTTTCATGGTAATTTGGTCTTCCACAAGCTAGAAGTTTCACGGTGGCTGATCCAGTGAATAAGGTGAATGAGGATACACTGTAATGTTTTTACCAAGCCTCTCTTTCACTGAGATGTCACTCAGCAACAGTATTCACCACATTTGTTTTAATCACATCTCATAAAGACATGAAAGAAGACTTACAGAACTGCTTGAGAAAGTGGCAACAACAATGGGATAAGTGTGTTCCAAATAAGGGGAAGTATTTTGAAGGTGATAAATGGCAATGTGTCTTTCACTGTAATAATTTTTTTATTTATATATTAATTGGTACATTTTAGGTATACAATACGTTTACATTTATCACTGGGTGCCTATACCTGAACATGATGTATCTTAGTTCTTATTTTTTCCCCTATGCGCCCTTCACCCCCTCCACTCTTCCCTATTTACGTAGACTTTGTTTCCATTTTTTTTTCTTTCACATAATTTTTCCTTTCCTTTCTTCCCTTTCCCCTTCCCCTCCCGCCACCCCTCCACCTTTGGACCTTTTCCTATTTCAAATTTATATTTCAACATTCACTGCATTTTGATCATCCGTTATATACCTCGTTATCAGCAGAAATAAATGAATCTGAAAAAAAGCACCCCTTGGATCAAGAGAGTTATGAGGGGACATTTGTATCTTAGGGTTTGGTGGTAATCAACAGGTTTTCTTTAAACTCCCTTAGCTCAACATTATAATTATGTCTACACCAGCAATGTAGGTTAACCCCTAATTCATTACAACATTAACAATCTGTGACTGTCAGACCAAAGTGCATATATTTGTTATTATTTTTCAGGCAATGGTCTCATTGTCCTCCTTGGTTTGCATAGGCGGACATAACATTGCTCTGGCCAGATTATACTGTCTTCCATCCACTCACATGGAGCAGGTGCCCACTTTACATTTCAGTACTTGGATTTAAATATCATGCATTCCATTAGAGGGTGCTGGAGACAGAACTAACTTTCATAGATTAGGTATGCTACATAGGTCGCTTCCCTCTGTGTGTAATGGCTCTGAGGAAATATAAATTCATTTATCCTTCAAACCAAGAACAACAATCCCTCCTAATACAGATCTTTCAGTTTACGTAGCACAAGAATAGTTACAAATATAGGACTGGTAAATTGTTTCAGAAATATAAAATTTGTCCTCTCTCATGCAGTGCTTCTTCAGAAACTTAAACATAGAATTATTGTATGCCCCAGAAATTCCACTTTCGGTATACACACAAATAAAATGACTTAGATACTTTCACATCAATGTTCAGAGCATCCTTTACCACAATAGTCAAAAATACTAGTAATAGGCCCAATGTACTATATTGAGAAGCAAATAATCAAGAAAATGGTCTCTCAACTTTAAATCAGAATGAAATTCTAATATATGTTACAACCTGGATAAAGCTTGAAAATATCAGTCTTAATGCAAAAAGCCAGCCAAAAAAGAACAGATATTGCATGATATATGACTATGATTTATAGTAATGATTACATGACTTGTGAAGTATTTATCATAGATGAATTCTTAGAGACAAAGGAGAACAGAGCTACCGAACCTGGTGGGAAGTGGGATAGAGGAGTTATTATTTAATGCGTACAAAGATTCTGTTTCAGATAATGGAAGAATTCTTGAAATAGATAGTTCTAATAGTTATACAACACAAGAATGCGTTTAACATTACTGCAATCTATACTTTAAAACAGTTACAAACTTGATGATCTATGTATTTTACCACAATAAAAAAATGAATACATAAATATTAAACATATTTATCACTCCTAAGTACAGACACTCTGTTAGTGGTAAGATTTAGATTTTTTCCAGGTTGGGAAGGAAGGCAAGTGGGGTGAAAACAGCTCCAGATGAGGATTCAGAAGACATTTTCTCTAATCTCAGCTCTGTCCCTTACCAGTGACAAAAGTTTGAGAAAGCCACTGAAGTCTTTTCACATGTTTCTCACAGTTACATTATGCAATAATTGTTTTGGTGACTAAGGATAAAATGTGTGTAAAGTGCTTCATAAACTCGAATAATATGCAAGTGGATATAGGCAGTTTTTATTATATATTACTTCAGGGAGTTGAGTCATAATAATGTTACCATTCAAATACATTTATAGATTCCTGTTTAAATACCCTAAAATATTACGTTATTGATGATAAAATTCAGCTAAGTTTTTAAAGATTTTTCTTTATTTAAAATATTGAATTTACAAGTTTAGAATGGAAAAATAATGCTGAATTTTTGCATTTATGTTTACCATTCTTATAATAAACAAACAGAATGCTAAGCCTTTACAGTTATTTTAAATTTATTTTAATACTTTTTATTCATCATTTAGCCTCAGTGTACATCCTTTGTAAGAAAGGAAGAACTTTTTCCCTTAGAAAGAATGGCCGACTATGTCATCATATCTTGTCTAGGGGAAAAAAGGGCTTTGTTCATATTTAATCACAAGTATTAAAATGTATTTACTTTGCTACTTGCTCTCATCATCTATTCCAAAGCTCACGTACCATTATCAGTCTCCTCATTATCAACATGTAATAATAATTTTATGTGGTATTCTATCAAGCTGAGTATTATCTTATAAAGCCATTTTTGGATAATTACATTGAAAAGAAGTATATAAAAAGTAAATTTATTGCTATGACATCATAAATTAATAGAAAAATTAATGTAGTTGACACAAATACCAACTAATTTTTTCATTTCCCTTCTCAGTGGTTATGTCTTTGACTATGATTACTACAGAGATGATTTCTACAATCGGTATGTAGATTTTTCATCCTTATTTCTCTAAGATTTAAAATTTGACTACTTTCTGCACTTCACATACAGGTGCTCTTGTTTTGTTTTAAAAATAATATTTTTATAGTTAAAACATAACATAGACAGATTTTCCTGTTCTCATTATACTTACTGAAGTACAATTGATCTTGAAATTTTAGGACTTTAGATGTTCTTAAGTCTAAAATTTCTCTTCTAATATTTGGATAATATTCTAAAAATGTCTTATTTTCCATGTCTGTTATTGACTTAGAATTCTCAAGATTGAGAGTTCTGTTAACTCTGCAAATAACTCCTTCTCAAATTTATCCGCTTTCAAGACACATTGAAAATGTCTTATTGGTTAGATTGAGTAATATTTATAGGCCATATTGTGGGACCATAAAAACAACCATACAAGCTGAAATGATACAAAATGTTAATAATTGAAAAAAATAAGCTTTTCCCATGACCTTTAAAAATTTTGGCAGAACCTTTAAAATACTTTTAATCTCTGCCTATAAATACAGAAATACATGCAGTAAAGCTAATATTTTTATCACATTATAAGTTAAAACAATACAGATATTGAGAATTAATGTGTTTTATTTGTTTGTATAATAACTTATCAAAATTAGTTCGAACCATGAATGCCTGCTTTTCATTGTATAACAGGATATGGAACAAGTGTCCATTTTATGGTTTGGTAAATTGTCATACTCCTTTCTAAGGTTAAATCAAAATGAACATTTTATCCATGCTGTGAACTTGGTGCACGAGTTCCTTCAATGTATATTTCTTTGTCAGTATCACTTCCTCTTGATTTCTACATCCCTTTCAGTATATTATGTCCACTTTCTCCATGTATGTAAATAAGTTTACCTTTATTAATTTTCTTTAGCTCTGTATCTAGAGTCTCTCAAATGGAAGTGTCAACATGTCAATGTTCAAGGTTTTTTTTATCAAGTTTTTCTGATAATTCCATTTACTTTTAATTTGAAGTTCACTTGCAGCATTATCACTCTTCAGTTCCTTGCTGCACTTCATCTTTATTGATCAGTTCTCTCTCTTGATTATCCATTTTTGAAAAAAATGTTACTTGAGTTTATGTTGGGATGATAAGGAAACATTACAAATGCCTCACTGCTGTCTGTTAACTGAACAATGGGTAAACAGCTACCCATCTTGAATAGGCTCTGAAAGAGTGATGCCCTTGCTCACCGATCATGAAACACATTTGTTATATACAAAGTCATTTGTGGATGAAAAAGCCAGTGGCAAGTGTGGACTTTATGAAATTACTCACAGCTTATATTTTATAATAATTCAAATTTGATTTTGGTTGTTCGAGAAGTGGGATAGTTTAAGTAAAGGCTGACAATTAAAGTGTATACATATCCAGGGTGTCCAACTAGAGGACCAAATATGGATAAGTAGATCATTAGGGGGGAAAAGGAGGTAAATATTTTTAAATTTTTCAATTAAAAGTACTATTAAAACAAAAAATTCCAAGGCATAGAAATGAAAATCTGAAGAAAAAAAAGTTTTCAGTAGATATTTTAAAAAGGGACGAAATCCTGTGGCCCCTTAAAAGGGTTTTCTTCTGTCTGCTGCAGCTGCCCTGTTCCTTGCTCAGTTCCACAAAAACATCAGGTTCCTTCCTTCCTCAATTCCTTTCTCTGCTCTGTTCCATCTCCTCAGACTTTCTTCCCCCACCTCTGTCACTTTTTCCTTCAGGTCTCAGATGAAGACTACTCCCGTGCTCAGTTAGGGTCCCTCTCTCAGCACTTTTCCCTCAGAGAACTTCTGATTTGTATGCTTTCTTTCTCCAGTGACAGTATTTATTTATATCCTTCTACCTTCCTCCATGTTGACCACAAGTGTAAACTTGCCAATCTTTATTGTCTTTGAGGACTATCAGTAAGCCTTGCTCACAGTGTATGTTAAATTTGTGTTATTAATTCATCCCCTTAAATTTAAAGACATGATCATTTTTCCCAGGATCACCCAGCCTAATTAGAGACTGAACTACTGTTGTAACCTGAGCATTCATTGTGATTCAATAACCCACTGTGTGCATATACAAAACCAAGAAGCAAAGTAGGTTCATGGTATAAAATAAAAGGACACAGTCTTGCCTGCATGGGAGTCAGACTAACAACCATATCTGTTATTAATATGTCCAAACTATTGAGTTATGCAATTTACTTCACTACTTAGTCCTATAGGCCAAAATTAACATTCAAGAATGATTTTCTCTGATCATTTTCTAATTTCTTGAAATATAAGACTTTATTTTAAATATCTCAATAGTTATAATAACTTGTTCTTAATGTGATTTGAACATCTGGCAACATTAAAATAATCCCATTTACTATTAAGAAAAAATAGCATGGAGATAGTCCTTGTACTTTTTGAAAATTTTAGTTTTTGGTAATTTTAGAGACATTTTTAACTATAGCTCTTCTTCTCAGGATGTAGAATGTTGTCCTAATTACTATGAATAATGTTTTTGATTGATATAGATCGTCTTGTAGTCTGTCAATATGACATTGTTTTAGTATCTTCTCTCAACTATTTTCTATCATGTGACTTCCTTACACATTTAAAGAATTTCTACCCGAAAAGAAGTTTTACTCTAGAAGGAAAGAGACTCAAGTTTTGATAACAAGTCCTTGAAACTTTAGGCAACTCAAGTTTTCAGTTTTCTTATCTTTAAAAGAGATACTAAGATGTGCATTTTACTGTTCATAAATGACATCTCAATAAAGTAAGGGGGGGGGAGAGAAAGAGAAGGAGAGGAGAGGCCTTACTTTCTAATGTGCAAGGATCTTAATCAAATAACTACAAAGACTGAAGATTTCAGATGACTACATTACGCATAAAACGTCTGACTCTGAACAATTTTCAAAATCATTTGTTTGTCTAATATACAATCTGTTTGACTTCTAAATGTGCAATAGATCAGTATGGTTGTGTTGCTAACAGACTATCTGAACAGTCTGTGCTCTCACTAGTTTATTTTTCATTGTTTGCACTTGGCTAAGAAAGACATAAGCATCTGCCGCTAGTGGATATACTCAAGGGCTCCCTGTAAACATAGAATCCCATGAAAGGAAAGCCGAATGGAGAGGCTGGACAAGATAAATAGCCTACAGAGTCACAAAACAGCTTCCTCCACAGTAATTCTTCCTAAATTACACTTGAGTTATACCTATGTTTAAGTTTTTAAAAATCCTGTTTAATAGCAGTGCAAAGTTGGGAAAATTATATATTACAAAACCTGTTATCTCATCTGTTAGGTGAGTATAAAATTGATTTCTAACTCATAAAATTGTGCTGGGAATTAAATGTGGTAACATATGTGTAATGATCAGCATTATGCCTGATGTATTTTTAGTGCTTAATCGTTGTCAGTTACCAGTAACAATTAGCAGCAGCTATTAACAGTGTGATAAATATGCTTCTTATACCGGTATTCATATAGCAATGTCCATATGGCTGAGAAATAAGCGGATTGGCCAAAAGTCTTTCCCTACTTGTTCCCCAGGACACTTCTGGATTATCCTGTTCTTATTGTTTTCCCATAACCTACTCATCCCTGCTGCAGCTGAACATACGGCAGAGAGAGGACTCAGCTATTTCCATTAACCCCATGCTGCTCTGTTTATATCAGGAAAAGAGAAATCACATGAGTTATGTTTAGTAAGCATAATTGCATATAAAACCTACTGACTAGTTATTAAGAAACTGAAAAGGGCAAAAAGAAAACACCTTATTGTGGAGTTAGCTACTGAAAGAAGCAGTTAACACCTCAAGGGCTGGGGAAACAGTGGAGAAGGTTGGGGTTACCAAATTGTACTGCAAGGCCAGATGTGTGACCTGCTGTCCCAGTTAGTGGACACAGTCAGGCAGGAGGATATCTTGAGCTTGGGAGCTCCGCAGCAGCCTGAAAAACATAGAGATTTGGTACTATAGAAAATACTATAGAAAGAGGGCTTTGCAGAGCTAAAATTTTCAATAAGAGGCAGTGCTCAGTTGATGCTGCTGTACCTGAGTGGAGATGGCACCCAGACCTCCAAGGAGGAGCACAGGCTGCTCTTGCAGATGTCTTGATGTCTACAAGTGTCACAAAATTACTTCAACTAGATTCTACTGTTGCTAGAAATGAGGTTGGATAATGCTGAGAAGAGCAGAAAGCTGAAACAAGTCCCTTTTCCTGCTCCACTCTTGCAATTTTCTTCTCAGGTGTTTTATTGGCTGAGCAGAGCAGGAAGCTGGCTCCCCACCCAGCAGAAATGTAGTCTGCAGAATTCCACCCCAGCTGTGGATAAGGATGAGCTGAGAAACAATAACCTAATAATTGACTTGCTACCACATAGTATTGTTATCCTACTTCTGCTAGCTTTGAGGATTTTGATGTAATTGAAGGTTTTCAACATTTCCATTGTTTTAACATAGAAAACCTCTCTACACCAAGTTCCATCGTATGATTTCTTGTGTCCATCCATAGTTTCAGGGATCATGAAGTATTACTAAAAGGTGTATTTCAGTGATTATTCTCAATGTTTATTTTTCTTTATTGTATAAAACACTGTCCAATAACTTATAGCTTTCAATGGTATTTTCTCTGAAAGATTGAAGTATGACTAAATAGAGAACATTGCATGTTACTAAAATGCATAAATACTTATATATGTGTCTAAGTCAAAGGATATATATAGACCTCAAATACATCGGATACTCCCAGAGAATATTTTCAGTTTTTGAAATGTTAGCAATTTAAATCCATCCTTTCTTTCAGTAGTACCAGAAAGAGCACTAAACATTTTATAATCTCCAGTGATAAGTAAACTGTTTTAACATAGAAAAGAAAATACCAGAGGTGTTTTATCATATAGAAAACCTATATACATTTTAAATGATTAATTGCACACTATTCAATCCTGCAAATGATTTGACCTTGTATTAGTTAACCAGGGAAAAACTAGTAATAGTTTTATTGCAATTGATGGAAAAATCTATAACTTCCAATTTTTTTCAGATCATTAACTATATAGAGCACAGTATATATTCATGACAGTAAAAAACATATCAGAAGAAACAATGTCTATTTCATTACACAAATTTAAATTATCATCTAGTAGAATGGTGTTCTTCTTAAAAGGCTGGAAAAAAAAACAGGCTGGAGATATATCTCAATAGTAGAGTGCACTAGGATTCAATCCCCAATATCAAAAAAAAAAAAAAAGTTGAAGTTGGAAATAACAGCCTTGTACAGTTCACAAAGTAAATTATTTGAAGTCAAAAGATATAAATTTCAACCCTATTTTTAATATAAACCAAAAGGAACTAGCCAGAATGTAGGAATATGTCTTTCAATAATGTGAAAAAATATGGATTCATACAGAAAGATTAGAGGATGATAATAGCTGTTTCAGGGTATAAGATTGAGTTGTTTTCATATATTTCTTCCAAAACACTTTTATTGTTAAAGTTTAGTAATAGCAAACTCTTTAATTTAAAAAGCACTCAAAATTGTACTGATTTTCTATGTTAATATGCCAGCAAATTGCCTTTTCCAAAAAACGTATTTTTGCTTTTTGAGACAGTCTCACTTTACGGTCAAAGCTGGCTTTAAACTCACTATGTAGCCCAGGCTGGCATTGACCTTTTTTTTTGGTACCTGGGATCGAACTCGGGTCCTTGCATTTGTGAGGCAGGCAGCAGAACCACTGAACTAAATCCCCGGCTTGAACTTTTGATTCTCCTGTCTCAGCCCCCAAATACTGGGATTACAGGAATGCACCAAGATATATACCAAAACATCCCTAATTTTGAGGATTCTGTATGAAATTTAATATCCTTATTCTTCTTAGCAATGTTGTCTTTTATCAAGTAAATTAATATTAAAATTAATATCAGTTTTTAGCTTTTAGTAAATAATAAAATTGTATATCTCAGACACTATTTAAATCAAACAAAAGTTGAAACAAGGAAGATACCTGCTAAAGTTAAGAAGATATGTTCTTATATGAAGTTCTCATAGTTTTCCTTAGTTTATTTTTGTGCATGTGTGAATTACATCCCATATTAAAATACTTAACGTTCTGATGCTGCCTACCCTCCTGTCAGAGAAGCAAACAAAACTGATAAAATATTAACTGATTCTTTAGTGAGAAAAGTCATCTCCTATTAAAGCAACTTGCCAAAATATTCAGAGGACAAGGGCTGCTGTCTGTAAGAATTTGCACCAAAGGGCACAACATATACTAAAATGTATGTCACTAAAATGTATGTCACCCAAGAAGTATTATCACAAATACAATGCACCCATGTGGATCTCTTTTCTCAACCTAAGACCAAGTTAAACTATCTCAGGAGACTTTGGAATCTCATGGGGAATGCAATAGAAATATTGACAGAAATCCCTGGCTGGGGAATGCAGCGGAAATGACAAACATTTCAGTCTCTTATAATATGTTATGGAAGTGCATTCTAATTGAAATAACAATAAATACGGTGGCTTTATTTGGTCTGCATTTCCATTCTAGCATTCTATAAATATTTTTGATTGTGCTTTAGAGATTTTCTTCACTCAGTTTATAAATTAGTATATTTAATAACCTCTTAAGTTGGATATGCAAGGCATAGGGAAACAGTCTCCAGAGAGCTTACCTTTCATCTGAAGACACAACTTCTAGACTGAGAGAGATGAGTCAATTGTGGTATTTTCTTTTCCCTCAATAGTTTTGGGTATCATGGCTCAAGCAAAATGGCATCATATTTTGGTTCACTGACTTAAAGAGCTCTGTAAATTCAACTTATAAATAACTAATGTAGAGCTTGTTTTGTGATTGAAATGAGGGGCAGTTTTCCTTGACCCTTTTGATTTTCAAGTCCCTGGTGGTATGGAAGATATTCATAACCCTTTTCAGCCTCAGCCTGCCTGCACTCTTTGAAGTGAACTATAATGTGTTGACACCCGTGACCTGCTCTTTGCTAGCAGATCTTGGGCCCTAATGCACTTTGCTTATTCACAGAGGATGGCTCCTCTCTTGAACTCTGTCTCATTTCACCACTTTTCCTTGCCAGACTTCTCCCAGTTTTTCCCCTAGTAGGTTTCTGAATTATATTTGGTCACTTTAGCTCTCAAATGTAAAAGATATTTCTAGTATTAAAGAGTTCTCTTTTAAATTTGTTTTAAATATCTCCTGATAGTGTAATAGTTTTGAATGTTTTTGATTATTTGAAAACCCTTCTATCTTAACTTGTGTTATATCTCATGTTGTTTTCCAGAAAGAGATTATCACATTTTCAGATGTGCAAGCGAAATGTCCTTCTATGAAATAACCTCTTAGAGAATTTTAAAATTATTTTCTTTCTGCTCTAGTTTTTTCAGGGTTTTGTTGTTGTTGTTGTTGTTGTTTGTTTGTTTGGTACCAGGGATCAAACTCGGGTCCTTGCGCTTGCACAGCAGGCGGCAAAACCACTGAGGTAAATCCCTGGCCCCTTTTCAGTTTTGACTTTCATATTGAGTTACTTTTATTGACTGCTTTAAATCAATTACAAGACTTGAATTCATATATTGGCATCAATAAAATGTGTAACAATCATAATTCTAAGTCAATAATGCTATTTTCTTTATAGTGGATAACGCAATTACACATCTTGTTCACTGTCATATAATTTTTTAAATAAATGAGTAAATGTAAAGCAGGATTCTTTTTCTCTGATCTGATGCTTCTCAAATATGCTGTCAGGTAAAAATCTGTTGTATATGAGTTTGTAGTGCAAATAATATAAAACTTTTAAATTTATAAATGACCTATTTCTATAAATGAGTCAACTGTCTTGCAGTTTCATTCTTTTCATTAACAGAAATGCATTGCTTTAATGAATATCATTTTTTTGCTTTTTAGCAAAAGTAAATTTATTGATATTCCTTTTGGTAAGAAACATTTGCAAAACTAACACTACAATTACCTCTATTCTTAATTTGAACAGCTGGCAAATGGTCAGAAAAATTAAATACACCCTGATATTTCCTATCAGAGCTATAGTCAACAAAAACGTGTTCTCCTGCTAGAGCAATTTCATTCAAATCTAGTGTGCTTTTTTCTACAGTCAGAGGAGGCTTTGATTACTTTAAATGTTCTTAGAGGTAGGGCATCATATTGATTTGTCTCTCACAGTTATTTTCTTCAAACTGATTTTACTTCCTTTGTGTTTGGTTGGATTTTTGTTTATTTTCTTCCCTCTGAGATCTCCTTTCTGATCAGAGAATCATTTTCTTTATTGTGCTTCTGGTTCTGGATGATCTCTTTTCAAAGCTAGTGTGCTAATAAGTGTCTACTATGTAAGGGAAAAGTTCTGTTCCTAAGAAGAGTAAATCTGTTTATCCAAGCAGAGAAATATATTTGGGGACAAAGGTCAGCATAATTTCAATAAATTGCACGGTGCTCTTGGAGCCAAGCTCCTTGCCCTTTCCTACCTTACAAATCAGTTCATAGAGAGAGTCATACTCTAGCGTGTAAAAAGCATAGGCTACATTTGCATCCTATTTCTTTGGTGACAATAAATCTGCCAAAATAAACACTTTCTATCAAACAACAGCAAAAACATGTTTATTGTAAATTTTTAGTAGGCCATCCTCTTAATCATTTCACACATTTGACAAGAATATCTAGGCATCAAACCAACTCATCTTTTGTGTTTCGTGAAGGTTGTTTGATTACCATGGGCGCGTGCCTCCACCTCCTCGCGCTGTCATCCCACTGAAGCGTCCCCGGATGGCGGTCACGACGACTCGCAGGGGGAAAGGAGTCTTTTCCATGAAAGGGGGATCCAGATCTGCCAGTGGATCATCTTCTTCAGGCTCTAAATGTAAGCAATGTTCTTTCTTTCCCTTTAAAGGAAAGTAGCAATAACCGTGATTGAGTGAATGCTTACTATGATAAATTAACCAGGTAATTATTAGAGAAACATAAAACGGGTACAAAATTATCTCTGTTTCCTACCACACTGCAGTGTAGTAGATTGCAAACACACAAACGTGACTGACAAAATCCCAGAACCGATTTGAAAAGTATTTTTACAGAAAATAATGTGCTCTCAACCTACTTAGCTTGTGATATATTAGTCTTAAAATAGAGCATGTTGCTTTCAATAACAAAATAATTTTACTTGAAAAAGAGTGCATACACTGTCTTTTCAGAGAAACATTATGCAAAATTAGTTTGTTTTGAGCTTTGGGATAATAAAGATAGGCAAACTAGATGAGAACTGATTTGGAAAAACTCTTACTTTGTTGTTAGACTATTATCCTTAAAAAATGTTAACAAAATTTCCTGAATTCCTTGAGAGGCTGTATTCTATCAGAGCAGAAATAGACAATAAGCCAATGTATTATCAATAGGTAAAAGAAAAACATGTAAAGGAAGTCATAGTTCTGTACTTCTGTCATGGGTAACATCTAACCCAAAACCTAGAAGAATCAAGGGAGCAGGAGAGTGATTCTGAAGCTACAGGAACAGAGTGTTCTGAGCAGCAGGAATGGTCAGTGCAGATACCTTAAGTCAAAGATCAACAGAAAATCCAGTGGAACTGCAGCTGAGAAAGGAAGGGGAAGTGTGGCAAGAGAGGAGAGGGTGAGGTGCAGTGTGGCTTGGTAGGCAGTGTGGGAACTTTAGATTTATTCTACACTCCAACCCTTTAAAACAAGTACAGCAAATGCTTTCACTACTTTTCTATTCATGAGCAAGGACCGAAGGTCATGGAGCTAATAAATGGTAGAGTCCTAGCTAGAAAACAGGCTTCTTAACTCACATACCCAGGAGCTATCTGCTATCAGTGAGCTTTTTTCCTCTCAACACTGTCAAATAATCATTATCAAAATATTTCGTTTTTACACGAGATTGGACAAAATACATTTTAGGAGGCAGAAAGGTACTGATGCTTCTAGACACTAAAGTTTTGTGTGCTGAGAATTTGATTTAGCTAATATAACCTCAACAGCAAACTAAATATTCATTTCTCTATGTACTTATTTATCTAATCTACTCTGGAGATAGATAAATATGAATTCCTTTTTCAGTCTCAGTCATAAGAGAAAATTAGTTTCTGCTGCAATCGCTAAACATTCTAATATACTTTCAGATTATTAAGAGCAGAGAAAGTTCTTGAACTTGATTCTTACTGTGGAAAATTGAACACTGAATTGCCTGCTGGGTTTATAGAAAACATTTTTACTATTAGTAATATTAACTTAATTTCAAATAGAATTACCTGAAGCATTGTGAATTCCTTGCCTTGTGATCCATTTTAAAAGTGTTTATCAATGGAAGCATTATTGATATTTTGGCCAGGTTAGTTCTACATTGCATAAGAGAGTCCTTAGCTTTGCAGAGCATTTAATTTCCCTGACCTCTAACTACCTGGAACACTTCTCAGTGTTTGTAACTATAGATCTGCTAATATATTTGTAAATGTTCCCTAAGGACATGGTACCACCTGAGGTTAGAGCCACTGACTTAGAAAAACACTGGGTTTACCTTATGGCCATTCCTGGCAGATGTAACCATATGGCACTCAAGCATTCAGTCACCGTGAGAACAGTAGGTGCCAGTAGGGTTATTTTGAAATAGGTATCTCAATATTCAAATGGTTAAGTCAGTTTTGGTTCTTTTATTTTTTGATTTCTAGTCATATCATTAAAAGAAATTGAGAACTTTGAAAATCCCCTTTTAGGATCTTATTAAGAATTTCTTTTGGTTCTGTAATAATCAGAATTTCTAAATGGACATACAAGCAGAATATATTTTCTGCTTTTAGTGCAGAACTGTGTGTAGCATTAGTGTGTTGACTGTATTATCCTAATCCTCTTTAGGCTTGCTTTTCTGGTGGCAGATTTATATGTCAGATTCTGAAATTGAAATCTTGCATCGTGATAGTGAGTTTATGGAGTTGTTTTTTCCTGAAATAATGTTTTATACCCGGCCACTTCTTGGTTGTTTTTATACTATTGCTTATAATAATAAAATAGAAGAAAAATGATAGCTAATGCCCTGCAGTGTTTATGACAGCTATTGTTTCAAGTACTTTACATATTAACTCATTTATTCCTCATATTTTTCAATGGCCTCTCTATGACTTCTTGGAGAATTGTAACTTTTCGGTCATATAGTACCCTATTTACTATTTTTGACCTTGAATTTTACTTTGTCTGATAGTTTGATCCTTCCCATATGGCTCTGTTTTGGTATATGTTTCCTCTATACAACCATTTGTTTTCAACCTTTCTTTCTGTATTACTTTCCAGTGATGCTATAAAATCTATCCTCAGATGAGTAGCTTAAAACAACAGGAACTTAGAGGCTGGCAATGATTAGCATTTCTTAGCCTGAGGAGGAATTCTCCAACCTCTGCTCCATGGTCACATAATGCTCTCTTTCTTTTTTGTGTCTATGTCTTTTCTCCTTGCAAGGACACTAGTTATGTCAAATTAGGGCTCGCTGTAATAACCCGATTTTGAATATGTCTGCAAAGATCTATTTCCCAATAAAGTCACATTCACAATTACTAGGAATTAGGACTAATTTGGAGGGAATATATTTCAAGTCATTACATTTTGTCACTTTATTTCTGCATATTTACAGAAAATAACATATTCCTTAGTTTGGTTGGGGAAACAATTTGAAAGATTTAATTTTATATAGAAATTTAAATTTTTTACATGTATTTGATTAACTAATATTTTCAACTATATTCCTTGCACTTTTATCACATGTATGTCATTGATTCTGGTTAAGACAATTTTATTAGCATTTTCTAATATTGGTTGTACCTCTGTGGCATCTACCTGTTCTACTTGTTTGTTGCCCCTCTCACCTATGAAAAAAATTGATGGTGCTGTGTTTATTCTTGCATTTTTGTAGAACCCCTCAACTTCTGTGTGCATCAAGCTGTTTTTGTCTCACTGGCAGTGAAGGACTAAAACCCAATAGGATGCTTTTCCTGACAGTTATCTTGGGCATCTCTTTGACATGTGAGAAGGCCTGTTTTGTCTCAGGTGTAAACTGAGATGTACTGTCCACTCAACCATTGGTCAGCCTTCAATAAACCCATCTAGAGTCAATGGAACCCTCAGACTCTCTAAGGATTACCTATTGCAAGGTACTGGTTATTGTCCTTCTGCTCACTCTAGGGAAATTTACTGATTCCCTCTCCCTCAAACAACCTAGGGTCCAGCAGCATGCTTCCCTGGTTTCAAGAATATTCTTTTTCCAAGTACTTGTAGCCTCAGACCCTCTCCGAGCACCCTGTATACAAATACTGTAATTCCGTGTTTACACCTTTAATCAAAGAACACAGGATCATAGCCATAGGTTGATAATTTTACAGTTGTGTCAATAAGAATTTATTTTATTTCACTGTAGAATTTTTCCCCATTAAGTTTATTGGTACATTTTAGGTATAAAATACATTTACATACATCATTGGGATCTTCTACCATTACATGAATATCTTCCTTCTTATTTTTTTTCCCTTTCCCCTGCCCTCCCTTCACCCCCTCCACCCTTCCCTATTTGCAAAGA